AAAAAAAAAAAGCCACAGAGTGGCAGAATAGATTTTTTTTTAAAAGAAGCATTGTCGTGGAGGGCAAATGTTTTGAGAATGATGAGGGTAATGAATGTACAAATGTGCTTTATACAATTGATGTATGTATGGATTGTGATAAGAGTTGTATGAGCCCCCAATAAAATGATTTTTAAGAAAGAAAGAAAGAAAGGCCTGTATCAGGGCTGGGGGTCGTCTGGCCCAGGGGCTGCATGAGGCCTGCAAAACCATCAATACCAGTTTAACATCGCACACCGCACCAGAGAAACAGTTCCAACCATCACATTAGGGCTGAGTTTATTAAACGTTTGACCAATATGGCAGGCTAATTTTCAAGGTGTTAATTTTAGTTGGCCCGTAAACGAAGTTCTAAATAGCCAAACGGTCCATGGCAGGATACAGGTCTCCCACCTCTGGTACCTGCATTCCTCCTCCAATATTGACAGTCCTGACCACGCTCTGCTCCAGCCACGCTTGCCTTCTTTCCGTCGGGTTTGAACCCCCACCCCCAAAGCCTTTGTGCTTGGACGTCTCTGCCTGTAACACTCCACCCAGATGTTTGCATTTGTTGACTTGCTCAGCATTCAGGTCTTTGCTCAGATGCTACCTCCAGCGAGAGCCTTCCTGAATGACCTATCAACAGGTGCACTCTAGTCTGAGGTCCAGTCTTACTTTGTTCACAGCACGGATCACCACCTGCAGTGATTTCATTCATAGATTGGTCACTACTGTCATTTTCCATGCCTTCACCCCTACACGAATGTAAGTTCTAATGGGGTAGGGACCTTGTCTGTCTGGATCACTGGCTTAGGTGCCTAGAGTAATGCCTACACAGGAGATGTTCAATAAACATTAGCAGAATCAATTAATAAGGTTTCAAGCCAGTGCTCTGTGCTCAGCATTGTTAGAGGCCAGGAGTAATAAAAGAAATGAAAATATTCCTTATCCTTGAAAAATATGGAAATGCACTCCACATAGAATTTTATGTTCTACTTAAAAAACAAAACAAAAAACCCCTCCTATCTAGATACTCCTTGCTCTTATTTAAAGAGTAATAAGATCATTTTAACGTAAAACTTTTTCTGCACCTTGTACTTATGGCTAAAACGAAGTGGACCTGGGGTCTGAACCAAACCGAGTGAGATACTGTGGAACGAGAGAGAGAGAGATTGTGCATGCACAGGAAGTAGGCGACAGAGAGGAAGTAAGAGGCTAGAGGGTATGTGGGTGTTAACCTGGGTGAAGGTAAAACAATATCCTGAAAGAGGGCGCTGGGGGGACTGGGTTGATACATTATGTATGTTGTCCAATGCAAAAGTTATCTGATATGGGAATACCCACTTAATTTACCATGAAATCTTAAAAATTAAAAAAAAACCTCAGGGGAAAAGAGAGAGAATGTCTGGGGGCCAGTACTGGTACTCCCTATGTTCTGGGGGGCTGGGGTACACAGGCAGGGCCTACATTCAACCTCATGGGTTTTCCAGGACTCTTCAAGCCATTTCAGTTCTCAACAAACGTCTGCTAGTCTCTTACTTAAAGGTCAGTTCAAACACAGAGCCTCCGCTGTCGTTGCAAATTGCGAGAGTTGGGTCATCTGTAAACTAAACAGAAGAGAAGTTTATTTTCAGATAGCTTTTTAAACAACCAGGCAAGAATTAAGAAGGCAAAGGGGAAAAAGATTAAAAATTTTAAATCTACAACTTGTACATTTAATAGCATTTGAAATAGCCTCCACTCTATTCAGCTCGTTACTCTGCACATACACACTGAGACTTTCAAGGGCAAAAGCACCTTTCATCAGGGTGGAAAAATACAGATCCTTAAGCTCCCTACTTGAGCTCCCACATTCACTAGCCCCACCCTCTTTTAAAAATCATTTTATTGGGGGCTCTTACAGCTCTTGTAACATTCCATACAGCACCTGTATCAAGCATATTTGTACATATGTTGCCATCATCATTTTCAAAACATTGTCTACTTGAGCCCTTGGTATAAGCTCCTCTTTTCCCCCCTCTCTCCCCCACCCTCCTACCCTCGTGTGTTCTTGATCAATTATATATTATTGTTATTTCGTATCTTACACTGCCCATTGTCTCCCTTCACCCACATTTCCATTATTCGTCCCCTTTGGGGGTAACTATATATCCAATCTTGTGCTGGGTTCCCCCTTTCTCACCCTTCCCCTACCTTGACCCCCCCCCTCCCTTCATGATATCACTACTCCCATTACTGTTCCTGAGGGGTTTATCTTTCCTGAATTCCATGTGTCAAAAGCTCTTATCTGTACCAATGTGTGTTCCCCAGTCTAGGCAGATCTGTAAGTTAGAACTGGGTCATGGTAGTGGGGGGCAGGGGAGAAGTTTTCAGGAATAAGGGGGATCATGTGTGATTTGTCAGTGTTATGCTACACCTTGGTTGAATCATCCCTTCCTTACACCACTTTTGTGGCGGGGATATCCAATTATCTACAGATGGGCTTTGGATCTCCACTCCAACCTCCCTCTTTCACATTGATGTAGTTATTTTGGATCTTTTGATACCTGATGCTTGATCCTGTCGACAGTCATTAATAAACTGAATAGGACACAACCCCTGAATCACAGCAATCCTACGGACAGAGCCAGACTGCTCTGCAGGTCTCCTACTGGTGGGTTGGGTCCACATTGTTGGGCTGGTATCTGCAGGGTCAACAGTTCAAGCCCACTGGCTGCTCTGAGGGGGAAGATGAGGCTTTCTGCTCTCTTAAAGATTTATAGTCGCCCTCAAAGATAGCCTAATTCAAAAAATCAGAAAGCAACAAGTGTTGGGAGGGGCTGCGGTGAGATAGGAACTCTCATCCTCTGCTGGTGGACCTGTCGGTATGTATAGCCAGTATGGAAATCGATTTGGCGATTTCTCAAACAGATGGAAATTGAGTTACCATACGACCCAGGAATCCCCCTACTCGGCATATACCCGGAAGAGGCAAGAAACAAATCACGGCCAGACATCTGTGCTCCAATGTTCATTGCGGCACAGTTCACAATCGCAAGGAGTTGGAAACAACCCAAATTTCCATCAACAGATGAATGGATTAAAAACCTGTGGTACATACATACAATGGAGTACTACGCATCGCTAAAAAGCAGTGACGCATGAAGCATATCGCTGCATGGGAAGAACTGGAGGAAATTATGCTAAGTGAAGTAAGGCAAGCACAAAAGGACAAGTACAACATGAGTCTGCTGAGGTTTAAGTTTAAATATATATAAAAAGAAAGAACAGAAAGATAAATGCAAAAGGGGCAAAGGGGCAAAGCTACTGTATACAAACACTCCAGGGGTAAGGTCCAGGTAGTCTGGCTGGGGCTAAACCAAATCCAGGAGTACATATGGCAGCCAACTAAAAAAAAAAAGGAGTGGGGGGGAGAAGAAGAAAAAAAGATATGTGACGGGGGAATGGGGCACTGACCTACCCAAGGGGAGGGTATTATTTGTGTCTCCACAGCGAAAGAGGGACCAGATTTAAAGCCAGTGCCAGACGAATGCAGTGTGCCGGCAAGGAGTGGGGAGCCAGTGGAGGGGCCTGAGGGCTGGGCTCCCATACCAGCTATGTGGACAACTGCCCCTCCCCCCAGAAGAATTTACCTGAGAGGACAGCACTGAAGCTGCAGCTAGGGGAGAGGGACATGTCTGATCAGGGCAAATGGGAGCACTTAAGGGGGAGGAAGAGAGAGTGGAGCACATCCTGACCCACCAGGCCTGGAGGACGATATCCCTGCTCTGAACAGCCAATGGACAGAGTGGACAATATGGCTGATCCCACCATAAGACACACCGTCCTTGATGGCCCAGGGTCCTAAGGGGGACAACACTGGAGACTCAGTGTCCAGACTGGCCCAGACTGATCCTGTGACACTGAGGCAAACCACTAAAAGTGTGCAGCAGAGCAACCGTGGGAGAGCAGAGAGCCCCCGAGGGAGTACAAAGGACAGACTCTGGGGCCAGAGCATGGTACCCCATTGGACCTGACTGAAGCACACGCCTAGAGATAAAAAATCAGACCTTGATCTATTTACAGGTTTTTCTTTCTTTTAAAAATTTTTTCTTTTGATTAATTTATTTTTCCATGGGTAATTGGTTTCCTTTTTTGTTGTCATCGCTGTGTTCTCACTCATCGCCTATCTTGCTATGGCTTGATTTTTGGTGCATATTATTATCTCTA